GAATCTGATCTTTGTTGATGATTAAGCAGCCATTTCATACTATACTTTTGTGCCGAATTTATGAGTTTTGAGAGCCAGTCAAGTAAAACTTTTAGCAATGATTCTTTGATAATTAATTTTTTTCAGGTTGGCCACTAAAAAAATGGCATTACGTTTTATACCAATGCCTTTGTTTATTTTTTTCTTTACTTTACTCTCTTTCGCCGTTGTTTGGAATCGGCAGTTACGTCAAAGATTTTTCATGTTTAACGTGCAGTTATAACATGATTTTACCCCAGACCTGGGAAAAATACACGATCATTACTTTATTTCTTCTGCGTAGTGTGAAACCATTTTTATTTATGTAAGTTTTTTTTAATTTATACACTATACATGTTTAGCGTCTATTTAATATAAATAATATTTTATTACTAAATATCAACACAGGGTTATAATGCGTGTCTGGACCCAACAGATGGAAAGAAAGTACGATGAAAAAAATTTACCATGGAAAGAAATTCGATTTGCTCACGTGAGTTTTATTCTATAATATTATTTCTATAACTTAAATTTTATGTAAAGTAAAATAAATAAACAAATCTTTTTCAAATTTCAGATTGTAGACGTTGTAACTAACGCAAGCATTGTATGTTGGTTGCCTATTACTTTAATAAGAGGTTTAATAATAATCACAGTAAATTTTTTCAAAGTTGAAGTAAAACTGGAGTCTTTTGTCAGCTTAATCCAGTGGGCGATATGGATAGATTGGGTTAGTTGTCAATACATATATTATTATCTCTACAAATTTCATTATTGTTTAACAGAATTTGCAAAGAAAAATAATTGCGGCAAATACTTTATAATGTTAGTTAAATTTATTCTGATGTACAAATTACAGTAAAGCAATAAATGAAAGAACATTGCGACATATAGTATTAGCAATTGGGTGCTGTAAAGCAACCGAAACGTTGGTAATCGAAAAAATTAGTTTCCATAAATATATTGTTAAAATAAAGCAAACATTTTATAAATTGCATTTATTTCGGTGTCTAGTCTTTCGAACTCATGAGCAAGCATCGTGCCTTAAACTTTCATGCGCGAGAAAATTTTCAATTCGATTATTGCCACAGCACCCAATTCTTTTGCGATTTAGTGATATTATAACACTTTCTCGAAGGTAAAGCAAAAAAACCGTGAGAAACTATAAAACAGAAAAAAAATATCTTATTATTGACAGATATTCTAGATATTCTTAAGTCATGTGAATTTGATCGTAACGTAGGTACAAAAGCAGGGTGCATTTTTCTCGCTGTATTCCGTTCAAATTATTATGACTGCGCAATGGAGTATTTGTAGGCTGTAATTTATTTTTTAGTTTAGATTCTAAATGGTAAGACATGCAGGAAGTCGATGGATGCAGGTGGCTCAGGACCGTGCTTTGTGGCGTTCCTTAGAGGGAAGCTTATGTTCGGCAGTGAACTTGTGAAGAGCTGTGATGATGATGATTATGATGAAAAGTATCCCATCGTTTTAACTGTTTGCTGAAGAAATACGGCATGTTTTTCAAAGAAAATATATGACATTGCGTTAGGAAACATAGAAATTTCGGTGCAATTCGGTGGAGCAATCGATAAAGGGAAATCCATTCAACAATGCAGTATTCAAATGCTTGAAATGAAGAGCAATATTACTGGCACAAGGGTCTCGGTCTATGCTCTAACCAACCCGCTTGCTGTAATCAATGACGTTGAAGTTTTAAGAAATAAATGGTGACTGAAATATTCTATTAAAGGCATGTATTTAACATTGGAATTTAAAAGACCTTGATGATAATGATTACGATGATGAGTAAAGTATTTCATTTACCAACGATTTATATGTTACAGTTTACTCCTGCAGTTATCACCGTAACGCTGTTGTACGTGGACCATCTTCTTCGCGCCAAAATGTTCGGAATTAATAAAACGGAGGACGAAATAGTTAAAGTTTTTGAAAAAGAGAGTTAAATTGTTTACATTTTCAATATTTATAAGGAATACAACAATTATGTGAAAATATTCTTTATTTATTTAATGAACATAATCAATAACTAATAATTTTTATATATTATATACATTGTACAATAACTTTTGAACGTCTTTTATTATAATCGTTTAATAATAAGTAACAACGTATTGATTATTTAATAGTGGAGATATCACTTTAGACGGGAAGGTTTAAAATTATTTAATTTCTTATATAAGATATATACACCATTAAGTTTAATGTGGGCCAGGGCCTACGTCAAATTTCATAAGAACAGAAATTACAAAGTTAGGGTTTACTATTATTTATATAAAAAATAGTACTTTGGCGACCGAATATGATTGATGATTCAATCAGCGTAAGAAAACAATTATTTTTCTGGGCCTTAATAATTTTATAAGGCCCGACCTCACTGGCATTTGTAGGGCGTGCGCGTTCTTCTAACTTTTGACCAGCGCAGACGTTGTCACTTGTCTACTGAATGCAACACTTTCCCGAACCGGGAGGCATTTGGCATGCAATCAGAAACAAAATACTGGGTACTGGCAAGGAAACTAGAGATATAGGCATAGAATCAATGGACTAATTGATTGAATGGTTAGTATTCTGTTGACGTGTCAACAGTTAACCACCTACGCTGCGCTGGTCAAACGTTGTGACACCTATTCATGATATACAATAGGTGCGGTGAGGGTGCTTAAATGCCGGAAAAACGCCAGTGTGATCTCGGCTGAGGCATTTATAAAATGTTCTATTTTGTTAATTATAACGGTATAAAGACGTTAACAAGATAATAATATTAACACGACACTGAGCCCTTACGTATTATTGTATTAATATGTGCTGTATCAAAAATGTCTTAATAATTTGTAAGTAGTAAAATACATACGTTCCACAAATGTCCGTGAATTGTGGTATGGTCAATGCCAATTCCACATTTTGATTTTATTTATTGAAACGAATTTAAAGGCTATGGATTTTATAGTAAGTAGTAGGTCTGTGATGATTACAATGGTGCCGATATTTTAAGTTTCCAATGACCAATATTTAGTAAGTGTGAGGTATAGTTCAATTAAAACAATTACCTAATGCCTAAGTACTATTAATAATTAGTTCAGTTCTCGTAGCATATATGCTGATTCAGCTGCATCAGTGGCTTACAATGTAAAACACACATTAATGTTCATTCCATTTCATAATTTGACATTTAACTTTTACATATTAAATAAAAAATGAAAATCCGCGAAGAGACAACAATCACAAGTATATAAACAGTATTAAACTCTTTTTTAGTTTTAAGAGTATGAATTTATAGTAAAAAGGATTGATTATATGTCACGAAAATATCAGTTAAATTGAAACGAACTTCTCTCCGCCGGATGTAGGAAAAAAGAATTGTTATGATGAAAAATTTATAATGTAAATTGTCTTCAGTAAATTCTTTCAACAATCATACATATGGTAACTGAATAAAACGTAATGTTTTTACTACGTTGTTCCTATTTTGTATACAAAATATAATTATAGTCAAAATATTTAATGTCTGAAACCGTGGCCTGAAATTAATTAATAGTCGTAAGTCGATATTTTTCTGTCTAATAGACGACACACACGGTCAGTTCAACTGATCATTCCAACTGATCAGATCAAACTAAGACTGTTGACATTTTTTAAAATATCGGATACTCAATATATCTATATCGGAGTTTTCTATATAAGTTTATCTATCGATACATCGAAAATCCAATAGTTTAAAAAATATCAACAGTCCTAGTTTGAACTGATCAGTTGGAATGATCAGTTGGAATGATCAGTTGAACAGACCGTGTGTGTCGTCTAAGAGTCCATCGGGCTAGGTGCTAGCCATCTATCTATCTCTGTCCTCAAGCCGGCAGGATTCCAACTCGGATCTTAAAGATAACCGCACACCTGTAGTGTTCTTTGTAGTTTGATGTTTTATTTTTTACCTCAAGTGTCAGCGTAATACAAATATTACGATATTTTTTATTTATTACATAAAAGTGTCTATGTTTATTGATATCTATCTGATATTTCGTGTTGATAATAATTGGTCCATACTAAGGCAATTAATTATTAGACCAAACGTTGCGATAGTAATGGCTATAGTGGCGGTTAATATGAAAGAGTTGATGACGATGAAGACTTTATAATGTATATTTGGAATAGGTACATCCTAATTTATATATATTACTTAATATGTTAATCTTGAAATAAAGGTTTGTATCAATATTTAGTCTTATTTTTTATTGAAGTACAATAATGTGTATATTATGTTTATAAATGTTTTAGTCCTAATTTTATAGTTTTAAGCGATGAAGAATCGATATAAGATAAATACTCGTATAAAATCAGAGTTTATAAGCAGACATTAAAAGTAAAAAAAAAACAATCACCTTGATAATATTCAATTGAAGTGCTTGCGCATTTTGGTTTTGAAAAGTCATTCTATTTTAAAGAAAATAATATCGACTAGCTAAACGGTAATCACTTTACAATTTTATTTTTAATTATATCACATTATAGTACAATATACAGCTTAAAGACTATATAATAAAATATACAGATTAAACATATGTGTATAATCTTTAGAAATTATCAAATTTCCAAACTGCAACCAATTCAGTAAATTTTGGTAAAGTAAAGTAAAGGTTGCAGTTTGTTGTGCAGATTTATTATTTTACACTTATCCGTTTTACACTTATACATTCGTCATTTTTACAGGCACTCGCTTCACTATCTTTGGAATGAGTTCGATGACTTCCGTTAAAAAGTTTATCGTATTCGTCATCGCCATCTTCACAATTATCATGATCATAATTATCTTCATAAAAATATTCATTAGTATCTCTTATAACCGTAGTTGTATATACCCTGTTACTATAGGTATCCTCGGTGGATCCCGTGTACGATGGCGTAGAGGGACTGTTAAGCACGATTACTGGATATTCATGTCCAGTCCCTCTGGCTGGACCCTGCTATATTTGTTCCATTATTGTTTCTTGGTTCCATCTTCTTTTGTTGTTACGTTTTTCTATGACAGGAATGAGAAATAGAATGAGACCACTCAGTGATATTGTGCTGCCTGCTACGTAGAAGCCAGGAGCATAAGAATTTAATTCATCGAAGAGCCAACCTGGAAGGATTTATAACAATAATTTTTGTAATTGTTTTAATTATAAAAATAGATAATTAAAATAATTTATTGATAAAATTATACCTGCTAATGGTGGCCCAATAAGTGAGGCAATTCCTTGAAACAATAATAGTAGACCAAAAGCGTTGGTAAGTTTTTCTATGCCAAGTAGGTCTACTAACACCACCGAGGTTAATCCTACGTAAGCACCAATGGTAAACCCGAAAGTAGTTGCGTATAGCGCCAGGCCCCAAAATTCCCAGCATGCCATCGCTAGCGCCGTACCTACAATGAAATTATTTCTTCAAAATCAAAGGAGATAAAAATAAAAGGGTTTACAATTCAAGAATTAATACTTACTTATGCCAGATACAGTAAGGCACAAATTGTAAGCCAGCAGTCGATTAACCCAAGGCTTATCGCTAATATATCCCAGAATTACCCTTCCTATTAAGTTAGATGCTCCAATTATTGATATTAAATAAGCTGGATTCTGTACCCCTAACTTTTCACTCATAGGGACTGTGTACACATATGGGATGTAAAATCCAATACTAGTTAAGAAGTTTGATAGAGAAAATAAAATAAATATTGGATCGACTAAAAGTGATAGGTCCAGCATTTCCGATAAAACTGCTTTTGAATCGTCTGAGCATGGTAACCAGCCACATTTTTGTACCCGATCTTCAGACTGTTCTCTTAGATGTACTCTCTCAGGAGATGTTCCTCTGAACTTGGCAAGACTTGTCATACTTCCTTGATATAATACATCTGGACGTTGCATTATTCCGCTACCACGGCGTGAGTGAGATTGATGCCTTAAGTCGTTTGGTTTATTCAATGCAGGCTGAGAAAGTGTTAACCTTGCGACATCACCATCTTCTATTTTACCATTAGCAATATTTTCGGTACTTTGTGACCGTTTTAGTGGAGATTTTTTTGACTCGATTAGCATAGGTTCCAATGCTGATGATTTTGGTGGTTCAGGGACTGGCCTGAACATGAGGCCTAAAGGTATGCAATTAAGAATAAGAGCTCCCATTATGGCCATTGCTCCACGCCACCCGTAGTTCGATATAAGAGACGATGTGATTGGCGCAAATAGGAATGTTCCCAGGCCTGATCCGCAAACCGCAATACCTGAAAGTGAAAATAAAATCACTTTGAACATATTTGTTTTATCAATTTAAAGTGATTAGTCTACTATATTAAAGTGGATAGTTGTTTTCAATACCTTGCTAATGTCAATCGGGTTGATAACTACTATTAACGATTTTTTTTTATAAAATATTTAAGTTTTATTAAATTAATTTTATTTCAAAAAAGGAGGATGCTTAAAATTCGACTGTAAGTTTTTTTTGTATGTATGTTACGCTTTGAGTATTCAACCAACTGGAGAGGCCATGCTCGTTAATTCCTAAACAAAAAGTCGGTCACTTTCAGGGCGAGGCGAGGAAAACACACTACTGTATTGTATACTTCATTAAAAATGCAAAATTGAATCGCGTAACTATACACGCACACCACAGCATTTGTGTTTGTGTTCATTGCATTTACGCATACCATCAAATTGTACACGTGTCACACACACACTATAGTAAAAACAGAATAGTAGGCTATCTTCTAAGAAGTGTATCAAACGCCGCTAACATGTGTGCGTGCCCGGCACGTGACAGTACGGCCACGTACGCAAGAGCCACAGCACGCGACACTTGCTATGGAGTTGCACTTGCGATCGGAAAGATTGGGCCGAGTCGGGAACTCCCACCGCCGCGCACCGCAAGCACCTTTGTTCGAGACTTTGTTGACTTTTGATAAAATTTTGTTAGCAGTTTTGTTTCGTTTTATTTTCTCTTTTTGTAAATAAATTAATATATGCGTTTGATTAAGTAAATTAGCTTTTTATTAACAGGTTATATTACTACATCTATACATAGATACATACCTCATAAGTACATTAATTTATCACATAAATTAAAATTAATTTAAACATTAAATCTGAGCTGGCACCATATGTTCAGTGTTAATTTACTCGTATTTTAGTTATTTGGCATTTGTTGTAATTTAAAACAGGAATTTATTTTTTGACAAACATTGATTCTTTGAGACGAAACTAAAGAAATGATTATCAAATATAGATGCATAGGTACGTATCCGTATGTATTATGTTTGTAAATATTATATCTATTTATAAAACTAAATGAGAAATAGCTGTTAAAGAAAAAGACAGTGACAACCCTGTAACAGTAAGCATTTAAGTATTGCGCAGCGCGTGAGTTAACCTACTCTTCTGTTTTTACTATGTCGATACACCGGTGCCTGGTGTTTACATACGTAAGCAACGTAGGGCGAGGACTATGTCGATATTTTTATCAATAAACAAATCATCATAGTTAAAGCCCTTCACAAGTCCACTGCTGTACATGGGCCTCCCCTAAGGAATGTCACAAAGAACGGTCCTGAGCCACTTGCATCCATCGACTTCCTGTATGCCTTACCAGGTTATCACTCCATGTTTTGGCGGTCGCGCTACACTTCGCCCAACGGTACGAGCTGGCACTAGAGAATCTTTTTTTCCCATCGATTGTCGGTTTTTCGAGCTACATAGCCGGCCTATTGACACTTCAGCTTACTCCGTTGGGCTATGTTGGTCACTCTGGTTCTACATTACCGCGGTTATCCTTATTTCTAAGTTTATTATGCAGAAAACTTCGAGCATAGTCGTCTCCGTAGCTCGCTGAGTGACTTTGAGCTTCCTCATACGACCAGCAGTGAAGGGTTTTAGTATAATATAAAATTATGATTTTATTAGTTGATAGAATTATGGCCAGTTTTTGAAAGACTTATCAAACTCAGATTTTAATTCATATTTAATCAAAAAGTTGGCTATGGGTATTTTCCACGTAGTGTTTATACCGAGCAATAAAAACATTAATGCGACAGTAGTTTCGTGCATACGGTTCACCTGATGTTGAGTGAATACCGCCGCTCATGAACATCCGCAACACCAGAGGAATTGCAGGCGCGTTGCCGGCCCTTTAGAAAGGAGTAAGCTCTTTTCTTGAATGTCTCCAGGTCGTATCGGTCCGGAAAAATCGCCGGTGGTAAACTATTCCACAGAGAGGTCGTACACGGAAGAAAACTAGTGAAACGTACAGTGGTTGACCGCCAAGCATCCAGATGGTATGGATGGTATCGGGAGTTTTGCCCCATAGTGCGTTCATGAAATTTGGATGCTGGGATTAATCCGTATAATTCGTCAGAGCACCCGTGATATATGTGATAAAATACGCAAAGAGATGCAACATCTCTTCACAGCGCCAGTGAATCGAGCCGATCGGAAAGCACTCGGTTGTCGACGAATCGAGCCGCTCTGCGCTGGATGCGGTCAAGTTGAAGGAGCTGGCACTGGGGAGCCCCAGCCCAGAGATGGGAACAGTATTCCATGCGCGGCCGAACCTGCGCTTTGTAAAGTTGCAGGAAGTGTGCCGGCATTAAATACTGTCCCGCTCTGCTGAGCACGCCAAGCTTTTTAGAGGCTAATTTGTTTCAATCTCTAGTTAAAAGAGCACTTCCCGTCCTCTCTCAATTGTGTTCACTATAATCGTCACTACTAATCACAACACAAAGTAGTGGACTTTAGGAAAGACACCAAGATAATATATCATTGACACACTACTTACTTACTTATAAACTTGAGGTGCTGTAGGTGCTCTTCAAACTGGTAAGACATATCTTTTTTATTTTCGAGCCGATCTTAAATAATGAACTTTAAAATTTTTAAGGTATATTTTCTTCAACTCACAACTGAAAACACCTCGAACAGGTATTAAAAATATTAGAAATTGTTTTTGTTTACCTGTGGCAAGACTCCGGTATCGCTCGAACCATACAGTGACGCTCACGATAGCTGGGAGATAGATGAGACCGAAGCCTAGACCAGCTCCTACTCCAATTGTAAATATAAGTGTTATTACGTTGCCTGCAAAAGCAGACACAATGATACAGGCAGCTGAGAGTAAGGCACCGACAATGGTTACTCTGCGGCAACCCCAACGATTTACGAAGGAACTAGAAATTGGACCTGTAAGAAAGAGAAAGATAGATTGTTAAGTAAAAATTACGGAATGAGTTTTGTCGATCTATTTTAAATTCTTGAATTTGTCACCTTCCTGTAATATTCAGAGTAGTAACCAAAGTTGAAATCTAACATGCCGGTAGTAATTGGAATTCCAAATGAACAATATATAACATTTCGGTCGATCTCAGCTCATCAAAAGGCCATTAATCATTCTCGAACCCCGTGCGGTGATATAGCATAAAAGTTACTTCGTCGTTATTTTATCGAATTTTTCATTGTTTTGCGAGACTTTTGCGCAAATTATTTTACTTATAAAAGGTTTTGTAAGCATTAATAAAATAATTCTTCTTTAAAAGGTGCTAGATTCCTTCTATACTTACAATAAGAAATTTGATGCTGAAGTGCTTTCTAACTATATTTATACGGTCGTTAACTTATTTAAGTTAGGAATATAGAGAAGAAAACGGTATACAATCTGTTGTATTTGGTATGTTTGGAAATTAGTTTTGCGATCATTGACTGTATAATTTTCTTGTATGCTTTACTTTCCTTATACATCTTATTGCACCTTCAAAGTAATGATCTTTGCTATAATTTATAAGTTGACTGGTAGACAACGCCTTAAGGCGTTAAGTCCGCCGTTGTATATTTTTTGCAACAGTTTAAATAAATAAATAAATATACTAAGAAACTCGTATCTCGAGGCTCAGTTTTTGTAATGGTCATTCTTTTTTCTACCAGACACAAGAATTTCTTCTCTCAATTTTTCTTTGTATTTATTTATTTTAGTAACACGACTATAAAATACCTTACCAAATTGAACTAGATTTAATTGAAACATTCATGAATTTTAATTCGTATTTTTAAGGTTTAATTACAATTACTGACTTCGTATTGTTATTAATAGTTGATTTATTACCCTTTTATTACGAGAAGATATTTTGTGGTGTATATAATTAAAGTGTGATTATAAAAGAATATCGAAATAATGAGAGTTCGAGTAGCTCCGTAATTTTATTTAAAACAGAAACTAATTTCACGGATGTAGTTTCTTATACAGTCCATACACAGTATACTTCAATATGTTATATGCATATTACTTATTAAATAATTAAAATAACAGTCATTATAAATCGCAATGCAAGACATAAGTAACGTTCTGTTATGTCAACTAAGGATATAAATAAAGTTTTCATTGTAATTAATTAGCATTCAAAACATACCCGAGCTAAGCGTAACCCCGACGAGGATAGAAACGATCCAAGCGGTCTTGCCTTTACCCTCATCGAAGTAGGTCAGGAACTCTGCATAGAACACGCCGAAAGAATAGGTCATGCCATCAGCTGAAAAGTAAAGTGCGGGACAAATATTAATTTATGAGGTATTTTTATTTCATTGTTGCTATACTAGAACTTATACATTTAAGGTTCTAAAAGAAAATTCTCAAGTAATAGTAAAATTTATTGGGAAATTCATCATAATATATAAATAACACCTATCAAAATTCCATTGCTGAAAATAGGCCTCAAATTATATTATTAATTATATGATATTTGCCACATCTGGAAGGCAAATTGACAACCGTTTATTTCTTCTTCTCTAAGTGCCTCTCCATTACTGAAGGTCGGCAGTTATCCTTCTATTTTCTTCTATGTTTAGGGCTAGCCTGAACAGATCTTCAACTTCCTTAATCCCAGTCCAGTTTATTTACCAGACGTTATTAGGAAGACACTACTGCCCATTTCCTGAGTTGTATCCATCTGTCGCCTCTTATGCAATCCACTATCGGTATGGGGTAGTGGATATTCATTACACTGTAATGAATATCCACTGTACCACCACTGTACACCACTACATGGGTAACTGCGAAATTACAGATAAGAAATTTTCGACACTTTGGTCAATTCTTATTAACACTATACGATCACAAGCAAAAAAGAATTTTAAATCGATCGGTGAAAAACATTCAGAGGTTTAAGATTTTGAACAAAAAAACTGATTTTAATAGAAATGTGTCGAAAAGGATTTTCCTGTAAAAAGACAAAATTAAAAATGTAAAACAATGTCCTTCCTTTAATTCCTCCCTTCAACTTTGTTAAAGAAATTAAAAACCTTATAAAACCTTCCTGGTCCTTTGCCGTGCTAGTTAAGTACGCAGATCGAGTATCAAACTCTTTATTGACCTTGTTTTCCGGTGCTCGTATCATTAAAGTTGTTAATTAGGTACTTATTTATTCTATGCTTCTTTTCTTTAGAGAACCTTGCATTAAATCAATTTTGAAGGTGAAGAAATATATCACGAGGAAATCTACATGTCTGGGAAAAGATTAAAGAGAAATATCTGTATACTGTGTACTGTAAACGAGAAGTCTGTCAGACTTACTAGTTCCGCTACCATATCAGAAAAATCCAATATATTTTTTAGCAAAAACAATGGATTTGCGAGCGGTGAAAAAAATACACAACATAATCGCATAATGACGGCGTTGCAATTGACAAAAGAGTTGTTTTTTAACCCAGTACTTAAGTAATAATAATAATTATCATGTAAACTTAGCTAGAGTTTTTGCTACAGTGCTCAAAACCTATATCAACTATACTATACCCTATCCGGTATAGTATAGTATACATATTCTAGAACCGATGTGTAACGAAAAGGCTATTAATTTATATTGCATCTTGGTTTTCTTTCACTGTCAGCAGAAAAATACAAAAAACACGGTGTTAAGCCTATATAATAAATAGCAATATATATATAGCAATATAGCAATTTACTAGTTCTTATAATGATTTTTTCTTAATCTTACTAACACTTCGAATCGTTTTGTTTTAATTATCAGTTTTTCATGTGGTTGGTAGGCATTTTATACTTTATATTATTAATATAATGGATCTTAACGTAACACGAAATGATTCCTAAATATAGTAATAGGACATTCGTGGCCGGTGTAATATGTATAGCCTAAGGAAATGTCACATCTGCCATATAAATGTCAATTTTAGTAACATTATAAAAGCAAGAAAACGGTCTATCTAAATACCTTGAACATCCGTAACCAATTTCAAACAAATGATACTAAAGCAACTTTGCCATCTCTGACGATTAGGATGGAAAGCCTCATAACCTGTATTTATACTAGATCCCCTCCCCCCATACCTTCTAAACCGATATACAGTTCTTCATACACGGCTTCGAAATAGGTGAGAGGATAGATAGTACTATACGAACGGACACCTAGAACGAGAGCTACTTAATTTTTGCTCCGCTTCATTATCAAAAGAAAAATCAACAACATTAGTTAATATTCATGCTTACATTTTTATTATTTCAATAGCTCTGCTGGTGTCTTGCACTTTCTTGGTGACTGATTATACTGGTATAAGGATCAAAGAAAGAAAATGTGAAAATATCTGCAAAATTACCAATGAAATGTTATAGTGGTGTAAGAATGTTTAATACCCCTTACCATCGCGTGGGTGTCGTCAGAGGTGAGGGTGGAAACTGAACCAGGAGATGAGAAGCCAGCGATTGTCAACACGCCAGCCAAGCATGGCGATTATGAAAAATATCTCCCCATTAATATATATGATATATTAAGTAATAACATATGAAATATGATTTTACATTTGGTATGGAAAATTGAGGACTTGTGAACAGCTCCTTAAATGTGTGCAAATAACGCAGTTTTATCTATTACATACTGAGTCTTGATGTTGATTTATTTGACTATTCTCCTTATCTTGCAATGTGACAGTTACTAACGAAGTAGGTTAACATGATAAGTCCATTATAAGGTAACAATGCTATATCAATGGTAACAGACAGGAATGCGAAATGACACGTGCTATCGGACAATAGGCTCGAACTACTTTACACGAACAAACCATTCATGGCATTAAAAAAAGTTAAGAGACAATAGTAAAAATAAGACCTATTGCGGTTTTCGGATTGATTTAATTTCTATTTTTATCGATCATAATGTCTTTTTTCTTCTTGGCCAATTTTTTAATCGATTGTTTTATATTAATGTGAATTTCCACACTCGACCTCTAAAGAAAATTTCTTCGTCATTTGGTGCCATTTCTAGAATGCATCAAAATTATGAATATCTTTACAGATTTGCCTACATCAAGCTACATACGTGTTGCTCTTCATCATCAGTCTGAGTCATAATTCAGCTTAGCAGTCAGCCACCGCAGAGTCTATTTCACCCCATGATGCCTCAGTTAGAGGCGAAACACGTGTATTTTTCCTTAGTGTAGTGGTGTAGTAAGTAGTAGTGTTGGGAGTGGTGACGGGATGTAGATGGCGGTAAAGCGGTCAATCTATGTAAGACACATATATTTGATTAAAACTACTTTTACGGATTTTATCGCGTTTTATTTATATTAATTTTAATACCCGACGTTTCGGGTGCTTTCCAGCACCCATGGTCACAGGGGACTGAGGTGACTGACGTCCCGATGTCAAAGTTAACCCGGAGTACCTTCAGCTTTTTAATTATTGTCTTTGGTCCGATCTACGCAGAATGAACTAACTGTATTTTGAAGTCTTGCAGTGGTATGCTTGGGTTTAGTTTTAACTTTATTAATTATAGGATCCCAAGCAGGTGGTAGTACCCAGCCTCCTTCTCTATTGAAATTAGGATTTTTTTAATTTCAATAGCCTCACGTATCATCCTTGGTAGGAATCGATGTTCTTTCGCGAGGATTTGTGGTCTATCAAATCTGATGTAATGGTTGGGGCCATCTAGGATATGATCGCAAACTGCAGACTTCCCGGAACGTTGATGCTTCACGTCAGCTATGTGTTCTTTTAAGCTTTTACATTTCCCTGTCCTAAAACTCTCTGAAACATGAGAGTAGGCCTGTGCCAAGCAGTGAGACCTATAGGCTGTAGCTATATCTCTTATACAGAATGATTATACTGCCATCTAATTGAGGCTATAAGATCATTAATGCTCTTCAAGAACTTATTCCGTTTGTTTAAGAAATTGATAATTTGTGGGTGGTAGGGATCCGCGTTCTTACCTCTTTCCGGTGCATTGGCAACCGCCTGTAAATATACCGGTTACATAGGCAACCGACATATTTACAGGCTGTGTGACATTTCTTTTAAGTACTCCAGAGCTATTAGTTAATGTGTACTTTCCATAGCCTGAAGTGGACCATTCATTTTGTTAAAATGTCCAAAACTGTTTATTTAAGCATATATGAATTCTACTGTGTATAGAAAAAAGACCCATACAAACCGATATTTAAATGGTGAATCTCACCATCATCCTTCACAGTTAGCTACCGTGGGCAAATCTTTGTTACAGAGAGCACGAGGGATCTGTGAAAGCAAACACCTGGCCGCCGAGCTTCAGCACGTCAAGCAGGTTCTGCACTACAACAAGCTTCGGGTCCCGCGCCTACGTCACAGTAACCGAGTGAAGCTGGTCACAGTCGAACGTGTGCCTGCTGTACTACCATATGTCAGAGGTGTCACAGACAAGATTGGCTACATCTTGAAGCGAGCTTCTATTAGAACATTCTACAAGCCGCCGAAGAAGATTAGTCAGTTCTTACCATCCGTCAAGTGTCATATTCCTCTACAAGATGCAGGAGTGTACAAGCTTGATTGTGATTGTGGTCTCTCATATATAGGGCAAACAAAGGGATCAATTAGAACCCGCGTAAAAGAACACATAGCTGACGTGAAGCATCAACGTTCCGGGAAGTCTGCAGCTTGGGATCATATCCTAGATGGCCCCAACCATTACATCAGATTTGATAGACCACAAATCCTCGCGAAAGAACATCGATTCCTACCAAGGATGATACGTGAGGCTATTGAAATTAAAAAACATCCTAATTTCAATAGAGAAGGAGGCTGGGTACTACCACCTGCTTGGGATCCTATAATTAATAAAATTAAAACTAAACCCAAGCATACCACTGCATGACTCCAAAACACAGTTAGTTCATTCTGCGTAGATCGGACCAATGACAATAATTAAAAAGCTGAAGGTACTCGGGGTTAACTTTGACATCGGGACGTAAGTCACCTCAGTCCCCCGTGACCATGGGTGCTGGAAAGCACCCGAAACGTCGGGTATTAAAAATAAATAAAACGCGATAAAATCCGTAAGAGTAGTTTTAATCAATAACTTCGTTAAAGTTTTTAATCAAGAACTTCGTTAAAGAGTAGTTTTAATCAATAGTTTCATTTAAAGAATTTCGTGATTCCAATAGAATAAAATATTTAACGTACCGATGTTTTAGTCGATAAATAATAGATATGATTTTACATAGCTACAAAATATTAGGAATTACTTAGCTAGAAAGATTTTTTAATAAT